CTCGATCCCAGGGCGCTGGGATCATGACCTGAGCCGAAGGCAGCTGCTTAACCAACTGAGCCATCCAGGCGTCCCGTATCTCCTCTTTCTGACAGCATTTGAAGAAACTAAAGTATGTGTTTTGGATATATACTTGTCCTCATCTCTATATACGTACGTTTTACTTGGAAAGCTTTCCAAGTTCCATCATTCAGGTTATAAAAATTAGTAAAAACAGTACGATCCAATTTGCAGAGAATCAAAATGGGATTTTGTAAGTGCCTGCATGTGTCCGTGTGTTGGGCTTACAGGTTGTCCCCTGTAGAACCGTGGAGGGAGGCCTGGGGGAGGAGCGTTCTCCCCCTCCCCCCACTGGGAAGAGTCAGGATGTATTTGTGTGTTGCTTGTGTAAAAAAATCCAGTAAAGGTAAAAGGAAAAATAAATTTATTTAACAGATGCATGTTCCTGGTCATTCGGGATTTGTAGGCAATGAAGAGGCGGACAGATTAGCACGAGAAGGAGCAAAGCGATCTGAGGACTGAGCGAGGTCGTCGTCCTTCTTGGACAACTTGAGTGAGTGGCTGTTTGCTTGCCTTTCCTTACTGGTGTGAAAAATAAAACTTGCACTAGATGGGCAGATACAACCTGCAGAAAAGTAATAAATCCGTCATTCTGGGATGTCCTGTGATAAAAAGGGGTTAAATTCTAACAAATTGACATCCTTCAGGATTTGAGCACGACTTGAAATTTCAGCGTTATGCTTTACTGGGTTTGACACTATTCACAGTTTCATTGCCATCTGGACAGGAATTTTAGGACTGATTTAATACGGCACGAATGCAGCAGTGATTTGAAAACGCAGACAAGGTCTGGAAGTGTCTGAAAGTGTTCAGGAACCTTCTCGTTGGCAGGATTGAGGCTCAGAATGTGCCGGTGGACTTGTGCGTACCTGTGGAGTAGAGCGAGTCCGTGCTCATCGGTGGCTGCAGCCCCTGCCACGGCACAGGCCTCGGCCGAGCGAGTGTGGGCAGGGTCTTAACGGGCCGGCACTGGGTACGAGGCGAGCCTGCACGTGACCCCGGCAGCTTGACTGCCGTCTGGGAGCCTCGTACAGAGCAAGATGCAGGAGTAAATCTTCTAAAATTTCTTGGGCTGTTTTTGTTAAAAGCACTATGCGAGCAGGGGCCCCTCGGTGGCTCAGGCGGTTAAGCATCCGGCTTTGCGTCGCAGCTTAGGTCCTGATCTCAGGGTCGTGAGTTCAAGCCCCACATTGGGCTCCACACTCCACTGGGTGTGGCACCTACTTAAAAAAAAGCACTATGCAAGTTCAAGTTTGGTCTGATCATTTTTAAAAATTTTTAAATTTATTAAATTTATTTTTTTTTAAAGATTTCATTTTTACTTAGAGAGAGTGAGTGAGAAAGAGCACAGGGCGGGTGTGGGGAGGCTTGGGGAGAAGCAGACTCCCTGCTGAGCAGGGAGCCTGACCTGGGGCTCAATCCCAGAGCCGTGGGATCATGACCCGAGCCAGAGGCAGACAATTGACAGAGCCGCGCAGGTGCCCCAATTTTTTTTCTTACTACTTTATCATAAAGAGGTACAGAAAATGACACAAATGTTTAGCTCGTCAAGTTTTCATTACTATAAGGTGAGCACCCTGATGACCATCACTCAGGCCAAGAACGAGAACTTGGCCAGATACTCCAGAAGGCTCTCCACGTGCTTCTCCAACCCCAGCCCCTCCTTCCCTCCGAAGCGAATCCTGACTTTTATAGAAATGACTTATTTGTGTTTCTTCATGGTAATTGAACCTTGTCTACTTTTTTTTAGACTCCGTATTTCTGAAGTCTCTATTGCGTGTATTGGTCTCCATGTGAGGGTTACCTGTTGAGGAACCTGGGCCATTGGTCCTGTTGATTCCCACGGTCTAGGTTTTGCCACATACATTGTCCTGACACAGTCCAGCATTTTCTCTGGCCTCTGTACTTCCCGCTGGCAGCTGGACCCAGAGGCTTGACGAAAATCAGACTCCACACCTCTAGTGAGTGGTAAATAGCCGCGTGCTTTCATCCGCAGGTACAGGCTCTTCGCATCTTCCTGGTGTTGGCGGCTGCCGGTGCCCAGTGCGTCCGTCTGTTAATGGTTCAGAGCCTCTAAAATGGTGATATGCTGTGATTTTGCTGAAAATAATTGGCTGGGTTGGTTTTAGAAGATGCGTCCTCTCATCTGCTATTTGGTTACCCAGTGGTGCTCATTTAGGAAAGGCAGGATAAGTGCAAAGATAATTAGTTCCCTGTCATCCTTAGAAGGTGGCCACTTAAGGTTTTTTATTCATACTTTTTTTTTTAAAGATTTTATTTATTCATTTGACAGACAGAGATCACAAGTAGGCAGAGGGGCAGGCAGAGAGAAGAGAAAGCAGGCTCCCTGCTGAGCAGAGAACCCGATATGGGGCTTACCTGAGCCTAAGGCAGAGGCTTTAACCCACTGAGCCACCCAGGCGCCCCCATACTTTTTTTTTTAAATTTTTAAATTTTTTTATTAACATACAATGTATTATTGTACACATAATATCCCAGGGGTACAGGTCTGTGAATCACCAGGTTTACACACTTCACAGCACTCACCATACCCTCCCCAATGTCCATAACCCAGCCCCCCTCTTCCTACCCGCCCCTCCCCCCCCCAGCAACCCTCAGTTTGTTTTGTGAGATTAAGAGTCTCTTATGGTTTGTCTCCCTCCCGATCCCGTCTTGTTTCATTTTTTCCTTTCCTACCCCCCAAACCGCCCACGTTGCCTCTCAACTTCCTTGTATTTATATGTTCTTATAACACATATGTGTCATGAACTCATTTACCTGAGCCTTTTGGATAGGTTTCAGGTCATTGCACTTTCTTTATTGAACCCGAATTGTAGCTTCCTTGGCTTGTAGGGGGAGGATCTTCAGGTTGGCTCTTTATTTGTTTTATGTTCATGTATGCACACACGTGCACTGACCACACAGGTGTACACTGTAGGCTCACTCGCAGTCGTGCGTGCACACCCGCATGCATGTGCAGCCCCTACGCGCGTGTGCACCCAGTCCTCAGCTCCATGCAGTCCGGTGTGTCAAGATGCTCCAGACCCATCCGGTACTTCTGCTCCTGATCTGGCGTTGCCTCTTTCTCTAACTCTAGCTTCTTTCTTTCTTTTTGTTTTGTTTTGTAAGTTTAAGTAATCTCTGTACCCAGTGGGGGGCTTGAAATCACGACCCCAAAATCAGGAGCTGCATGCTATTCTGACTGAGTCAGCCAGACTCCCTAGAATCCAGTTTCTTTTAACGGCAGAAACGGTATTGCAAATGCTTGGTGTTTGTCGCTGTAGGGTTGTGGTCATTGCCTCTAGGGCTTTTCAGTGCAGAGTTAGAAAACCTACACGTGTACACACATTTAAAGATAAAATACTTGAGCTCGTATTGATATTTCCAATAGGAACTCGGGATTTCAGAGTACTCAGCTCTTCCCTGTCGTGTCTGTGTGTCCTTCCACACTGAGACTCCTGGGACAGAAGTTCCTTAATTACGCACCGGCTTTACTGCCCTCTCACAAGCAGTGCGGGGACACTGATACTCGTGTTCTGCTCTGACAGTGAAAACAGCGCTGCATGTACATGGCCAGTCGTGGCACAGTGAAATCTCCCCCTTGCCCTCATCTCGTCTCACTTCGTGTAGTCCGTGGTTACACGGCCGGCGTTGGGTCAGTGTCATCTTGGAACTGTCCTCCCGGACCTCCCCATGTTGACCTTAATTTGTTTGCTTTATGTTTGAAATCAGTTTTGTACGGTATGAAATCCTTGGCTCACATTTTCCTCCCTTAGTATCTGAAATCTTTTTTTTTTTTTTTTAAAGATTTTATTTATTTATTTGGCAGACAGAGATCACAAGCAGGCAGAGAGGCAGGCAGAGAGGAGGTGGAAGCAGGCTCCCTGCTGAGCAGAGGGCCCGATGCGGGGCTCGATCCCAGGACCCTGAGATCATGACCTGAGCCGAAGGCAGAGGCTTAACCCACTGAGCCACCCAGGCGCCCCAAGTATCTGAAATATTTATTTCGATTTTTTCCCAGCGTGAAAAGCCCAGTGAGTCTTTCTTACAAGTCATGTGTCCTTTTGGCTTCAATGTTCCGAGGTCTGTTTTCCGCGGTTGTGTTAGACGGTGTCCTGTGGTGTTCGCGCTGGGTCAGTGCTTGCGGGAGTGCGCAGGGTGTCCGTCTGTGCGTGTTCACATCCGCTATTTCAGGGTTTCTGGAACTGCGGCTTAGTGTTCTGGTTTCCGTGTTTTCGGCTTCTGTTTGGGGGAACCTCAGTTTCTCTGTGTTGAAGTCAGATTTGTCCGTCCTCTGTGTTTTCTTCTTCTTGAATCTCCTTCATCTCTTTTTAAATTTCTTTTGTTTCCTAAAATTTGTTCTCCACATGATGTCCTGTTTCTAAAGCCATTATTTGTTGTGTGGTTTGCTCTGATTCTCATTTTTGAAATTAATTTTCTTGTCTGTCTAGTTTCCGGAATTCTGTGACCTTATTTCTGATGTTTTCTCATGCTGATGTGTCGTCCTCCCATCTCGGATCTTCTCTCTTGATGTTTTGAAGCAGCTCATTTTGGTCTGGTTGCTGGGTACGTCTTTCTGGTGTGCCCTCACTCTCTGTAGGGGTGTTTGTTCTCCTCCTTTTCTCTTTTCTTAGAATAGCTCTGTGTGGGATTGGTACTTTCCCATCATGCATTTTCCTAAACATTTAGTTCAGATAGTTTTTCTCACTTCATAGAGTTCTCTTTTCTGTTGAACTTTGAGTCATGCTAAAAATACGGCGGCTAGCTTCTGGCGCTCTCCCTGCTCTGGCCCTGCTGCACCCGCATCAAGTCCTTCTCTTTCCTCTGTCCACTGTCCCTTCCTGCTGGTGCTGGCTCTGTCCCCACAGTATGGGTCCCTGTGGGGTCAGCCGCAGCGGCTCCCGGGCTCCACGGCGGCAGCCCTCGGACCTTCTAGCAGTGGCTCTTCACCACCCGGGGAGGGACGACTGCCCCGCTCCAGCCGCGGGCCTCCAGCTGGCCTGTGACACTGCAGCGGACACCGGTCGGCGCCGTGGAGGCCCAGTGGCCCCACTGTGCTCTGTGCCACAGGTGTGCAGGCTGTGGTGGGCAGACCCTGTCCTTCATTTCCATGTGTCAGCCTTGTGGAGTCACCACGCCATTTTGCTTTCTAACAGCCTTACGGAGGCGCGCTTGATGGACAGCACACAGCGCGTGTGTAAAGCGGACCTTGGATTCCCCAGTGGAGCCCCTGCAAGAACTGCCTGTCACCTCCCAGGGTTTTATCGCGCCACTTTGAAATCCTTCCGTCCCGGACCCCATCCTCGGGCGACCACCGATCTGCTTCCTATCTCTCTAGATAATTTGTGTTTTCTAAGGCGTTTATATAAATGGAGTCCTGCAGTATAAACGCCTTCCGTGTCTGGAGCGTCTTTCAGTCGTGTCATCATTCTGGCATCGGCGCAGCTGCGTCTGACCGTAGCTCACTCCTTTCTGTCGCGGCGGAGCGTCCACGGCTCGGGCGCACCACGGCTGTGCGCCTTCCTCCTGTTCACGGGCGTTTGCTTGGCCTCCGGGTGCGGCTCCTGTAAATAAAGCTGCTGTGATCACGTTTGTACTTGTCTTTTCCTGAACGTGTGCTTGTACTTCTCTCGAGGGGGACGGGCGGGGTCACGTGGCAGGCGTGGATTCAGTTTTAAGAAACGCCAGCAACATCGTCTACCGTTTTACTTCCCCCTCAGCAGGACAGGAGGGTTCCAGTGAGCCCCCATCCCTGTCCCGTGCTGCTGGCTCCCTAGGTTTGTTCCAGACGACTGTGCTTCTGTTTCAGGTGAAGATTTGGGAAGATCCGAAAGTGCTCTTACAGTTGGTTGAGCGGCCAGCTCTTGACTTTGGCTCAGGTCATGACCTTAGGGTTGTGAAATCGCGTCCCACATTGGGCTCTGCACTGAGCGTGGAGCCCGCTTGAGATCCTCCCCTCCCCCACACCGAAGAATAAATAAATAAAAGGTAGCTGCATAACGAAGCTGCATAACAGCTTTAGAAATGTGTCCTCGGTCAGCTTTGTCCGCAGCTGGGGAGAGTAAGTGACTGCGGTGTGCAACACAGTGCTCCGTCGTGGAGTAAGAAGCTTCTGGGCCGCTGCTGCTCTCACAGTGTGAGCTGGACGCCTGGCAGATGGAGGCTGTTGACATGTTGTTTGTAGCGTCCACGCCAGTGCACTGAGGTGACTCCACTGCTGGGCTTTGAGAAAATCCAGAGGGTCTGTGCTGTCCCTCGGGACAGGCACGTGACCGCCGAGCTAAGTAGAACCAAACCGAACCCCAGTGCGGCGGTTGGGCAGCTTGCACGGTCGTGAACACCTCCTCTCGTTTGCCGCGATGGTGTCCCCGGCCAGGCAAGCGCGGCCTTCAAAGGACCTCGGCCTCCGTGCTACATGTCTCCCTCGTGCTCCTGTTCCGGTAGTTCTGGAACAGGGAGGTGGGGCTGCCCCGTAACGGCCCCCCTTCATGTCCTGTGCTGATGGGACTTGCAGAACCTGGTGCGAGCAGGACGTCGGAGCAGAGCGTCTGGCTCTCCATCCGGCCACGGCCCAGTGCCCAGATGCGGCCTCCAGCAGGGGAGCGGGCGGGCAGGGGCTCCGGTCTGAGTTGTGTCCCCGGCGCCTGGAAGGCCTTCAGATACTTAGAGAACCTGCGCCAGTTTGTGAAAACAGCTGCAGTTTGTCTGCCAAGGGGATGGGAGGGAGAGAGAGCGGCACAGGACCACTCTGGTCTGAACACTGGTGGGATCTTCAGCTTTCATCAAAATATGCCTCAAAATTCGGGTTCCTCCCTGGTGCTTCCTGGAGAGCCACAGTGGAAGGAAGGTCTGGGACGGATACAAACAGGGTCAGTGAAGTGGGAGAGGACTGGCAGGTGCCGGCTCTGGCCATTTTCTAGAGCTCTATTTCTTAATCCCAAGGGTACACAAGAATTTAGTATAAAGGGCCGTGTCACCAGTGCTGTAAACAGAGCCTTTTTACCCAGGACTCAAAATCCATTAACCATAAAAGAAAAAGACTACATAAAAATCAAAAAGTTACAAACAGCTTTATTTATTATTATTATTATTATTTATTTTTATTAGAGAGGGAGTAGGTATGCACAGGAGGAGGGGGCAGAGGTGGAGGGAGGGAGAGAACCTTAAGCAGGCCCCACACTGAGCGCAGAGCCCAACGTGGAGCTCAGTCTCCCAACCCTGAGATCATGACCTGAACCGAAATCAAGAGCTGGATGCTTTACCGACTGAGCCACAGGCACCCCTTGAACTAAAAAAAACTTTAAAAAGACCTAAGCATAGACAAATTCTGAAAAAAAATTTGGAACCGCTGTGACAGGAGGCTCATTTCTCTGGTACATAAAGAACTAGTAGAAAGTGAGAAAATGCCTAATAATAGAAGGGCCGGTCATAAACCACTCAGATGCTCGCGCCCTCGAGCAAGGAAAGACCAGCTTGGCTCCTGAGAGCCTGCAGACTGACACTGCGCTGAGACATTCTCCTGTAGCCTGTCAGTACCTTGCAATAGAGGATTTATTAGCAGAACAGCAGTCCGGGAGCTGCTGGGAAGCCACGCACTTCCGCGCCGGCGTGGGCAGCACGGAATGGAGAAGTTCGCGGCCTGCTGAGATGAGGAGCGCGGGTAGCTTGGACCCAGCCTTCGCGGCTGTTTGCAATTTGCACTGCAGGTCCGCCTGCGGTCATCCAGGCGAAGACCGGCCTCGCAGTGTCTGAGCAGGAAAGGATACCGGGGCTGCTGACGTGGCCTCGGGCGGCTCGCGGAGGAGCAGTGCGCGGAGGGCTTGCCGCGTTCGGTGCATCGGGGCCAGCGCGCCCAGAGGGCACCCTGCGGGGGTGCAGGGTGGGCGGGAGCAGATGCAGGGAGGACACCTCTCCACATGTGAACCCCTGCCTGTCATCTTGATTTTGAGTCATGTCGGATAAATGCTCAAATACGAGAGCGATTTTAGAGGTGTGTTTTCCTGGGACACGGGAGGGCATGGTGCGCTCACCGCAGGACTGCCGCAGGGGGAGGCCTGGTGCAGCGGGGCAGGACTCGCTGAGGTTTTGACGTCCAGCCTCTGCCTTCGCATCTGCATCCTCGAGTCCCACGGGCTCCTCAGGCCCCTGCATCCTTGGTACTGGGGGGCACAGAACAGGTACAGTGCCTCTTGTAGGTACACAACTTGCTTTAACGTAACACTTGAAAACCCAGAGGTCAGCGCCTGAGACCGAGCTGTGATGGGCTGAATGACTGTGGCCCCGAGTTCCCGTGTTGACGCCCTACCCACAGCGTGGCTGTGTGTGGAGATGGGGCCTCTAAGAAGTGATTAAGGTCAAATGAGCTCACTCCCTCCCTGCTCTTGCCACCAACAACAGGAAAGGCCATGTGAGGACATAGTGAAGCCAGGAAGGAGCCTTCCCCAGAAACCCAGTCAGCTGACACCTTGATCTTGGTCTTCTGGCCTCTGGACTTGTGAGAAATAAGTATATGAGCCCCCGCCGCCCGCACCGGTGGCATTGTGAATGGCAGCCCGAGCTGGGTCTGCAGTGAAGGATGCCTGCTGCAGTCCAGTCTCCTCTTTTTGGGGCAGGAAATGAAGTTGGGGTCTGGTCCTCTGCCCCGTGGGTGCTGGCTGTCCTCGCCGCTCGCCACTCGGACAGCATGACCCCGCCGCGGAGGCCGTGTGCGTGATTCTTCCGAGACTCCGCTCTGTGTCAGTGAGACAACTTTGCTTTGTTAGTTGACAGGTTTTCCTAAATGGAATTGAGTTCCACGTCGTTTTGCTGAAGTCCAGAAGATCAAAAATGAAAATGAAGATAAAGAAAGATAGAGAAATGAAATTATTACTCCTATATTTGGTCGTGATTTTCTTTTTAAACCAGAAAAAGGTCTATTTAGAGTTAGGAATCTTGACATTGTGGAGACTTCCTTCTGTGTGACAGGCCCTAGTTCGTTGATCTTCTTAAAGTTATTCAGACTTTTAGAAACTAAGAGGCAGAGATCAGTGAAATGAGTACTTTCCAGCGAGTCCTTGTTTTCTGTTTTCAAAGATAGGGACTGATGAGCAGCTAGAGCCTTCCTGGTGTCTGGGCCTCTGCTGGTGTCCCCACTTTTTGCTTTAAATACCTGAGCAGCACACGAAACCCCTGTCTTGAGGCGGACCAAGGTGACTGCGGTCAGGCTGGGAGGACCAGACCTAGGGACCTGTCTGCTGTGAGCAGTGACAGCAGTGACAGTCCCATGCCGCCTTCACTCTGTCGTCAGAGGCTTTCAGAGTAGAGGCTGACACCTCTCATTCCTACGTCCGAGCCCTGCTGTGGGCCCATCGTCGCCTGCGAGCCGGCGCTCCTGACGGGTCTGCCCTCTCCCACCCGCCGCGCGGCAGCCAGAACCTCAGGAGGCACCACTCCTAGGGCTTCCCGGGCCCCCAGTCCCCTCGTGACCGGCAGCTCCAGGACGGATCCTGAGGGCACTGTGTGTGCTGGGCCAGCTGCTGAGAGGCCGCCTGTGCCCTCGGGACGCCGTCTGTGACGTGCCCTGCGTGCAGGTCTGCCCGATCCCTCCCCCGACCTCTGCACAGAGTTGCTGGGGCTCAGGTCCCTGCCCATCCGCGCAGAGGGCCCAAGGGTCCATCTCTTAAGACACACCCATAAGGGGCTGTGGCACCTCCCTGTCAGGCAGGACCTAGCACCCTCGTGCAGGGGAAGGCTCTCCCGGCCGGGCCCTGAGCGGCTGCACTTTTGACAAAGGGTCTGGTGACCTTTCTGGGCTCTGGTGTGTTCTACAACGGTAAGTAATCTTGCTCAATTCTTAGAGAATTCTCAGGGCGCCTGGGTGGCTCAGTTGGTGAAGTGTGCAATTCTTGATTTCAGCTTAGGTCATGATTTCAGGGTTGTGAGATTGAGGCCCCTGTCAGTCTCTGTGCTGGGCACGGAGCCTGCTTAAGATTCTCTCTCTCTCTCCTCCTCTACCCCTTCCCCTGGCTTGCACACATGTGCACTCGCTCGCTCGCTCTCTCTCAAAAAAAAAAAAAAAAAAAAATTCTCAGGGGCTTTCTTAAATGTTTACACAGGCTAAAAAATCTCCTCTCTAATCACCACTTTGTTATTAATGGAATAGTGTGTTTCTTTCCGGAGAAGTTCACCAGATCTGAAGAATCGTATGGGGGATGGCAGAACTTGGTGAGAGAGAAGACTGCAGGAGTTTCAGTTGGTCTGGAAATGGGTTTCTTACTCAGAAACCTCGCTCCCAACCCGAGCAAGCCTGCCGTCCCCTCGGAGCCGCGGGCTTCCTCCAGGGCCTCCCCGCTGAGGGCGTTTGTCACTTCCTGAAGTGAGATGATTCCTGTGGCTTTGTTTTTGGGTGTTTGTTAAAATGTGGTGGGGAAGTCCTTGGTGATTATTGGGTGGCAAGAGAATGAAATGTAAAATGAGAAATTGGAATTAAAGGATTTAAAAGATTGTGTGGCTCCTCTCCCCATAATACCCAAAGAAGCACATCTTTTATGGTTTTACTTTTTTTTTTTTAAAGATTTTATTTATTTGAGAGAGAGACAGAGATAGTGAGAGAG